ATAAAAAAATCATTGCCAATTTTTTCATAATGATTAATCATATTTTAATGTCACGTAATGATTGTATAAATGGAATTTCTCGTAAACATTTCTCTTAAAATTTACAATTTTTTTATGCAGAATGTTTTCAGGAAAATCTGGGAAAGTGTGAGAGGAGGAAATAAATAAAAAACTCATTGCCAATTTTTTCATAATGATTAATCATATTTTAATGTCACATAATGATTGTATAAATGGTATTTCTCGTGAACGTTTCTCTTAGAATTTACAATTTTTTTATGTAGAATGTTTTCAGGAAAATCTTGGAAAGTGTGAGAGGAGGAAATAAATAAAAAACTCATTGCCAATTTTTTCATAATGAGTAATCATATTTTAATGTCACGTAATGATTGTACAAATGGAATTTCTCGTAAACGTTTCTCCCACGTAAACCGAGGAACGATAACAATAAGTACAGTAAATGTAATCAATAATTGCAATGATACCTCACAATAAATATCATTATTTTGTATGGTAAGTGTTTTTTTTTTCATCACTACAAAGTTTCAAACGCAAAAACAACACTTTTTCCTTTATTTTTATTTCAATTACTATAATACATGTTCGGTTCACCATTGACGTTCACCAAAACAAAAGGAAGAGGTTTTTTTTATTTTATTGAGTTTTGTGTATTCATTTTTCTCATCATTTTTTTTTTCTCACATTGGAAAGACTCGTTACTCTTATAATCTTTTCCTTACCTAGTATTTTTCGTTTATTTTCCACATCCATTAGGATGTTACCCTTTTTCTAAACGAACTAAATACTACATTAGTCGATCTATTGAACGTTGCGAGTCTCGAGCACAAGAAAAAAAAATTTAATCTCCCGATTTTCTGAGATTCATTACCATCAATGCGTATGCATGACTGAATTCCGCATTATCATGGATTTTAATATTTATCGCAACGTCTTACAGATCATTCACTTTGTTTTCTCCATTAATTTTCATTTTGTATTAATTACTTCATTAAATTTACCCGTCATCGTGTTCAAATACATCGTCAACGGTAGCGATAAAGTTTTATATCAATAAAATTTCTCGAAGTATATCAATAATAGACGATAATTCAATAATCCAATGGCAATCCGGGGTTTCGGGGTAAAAGGGGATGGAGGGTGACAAAAACATGGTACTCCGATACTAGGCCAACTATTGGGACGCCTCTAATCGAGAGGGTTTCGATACACTTTTATCATTATTAATAATTCTTTTTAAACTTCACATCACTCTTGTCTGTGCCCCTGTCTCATTCCCTCTGAGTTCTGACGAGATTTTCCACTTCCCATCAAACCAATCAATGCATCTCCGCTCTCTTCTAATATTTATGATCTCTCTGCTTCGTCATTCGTCATTTAATTTTATTTTCATAAAAATCAATCCCCAGTGTGCACAAGATAGTCAATGGCTTACTAGTTTTTTTTTCTTTCAGTTAATTATCAACATGCCAATGATTTCTCATCTACGTAATTTTATTTGTCGAATGATATTTTCTCATACAAAAGGAAGGTGAGTGGATTGCAGCAATGACGAAGCCACGGAAAATCTTTATATCGTGTAAATGCTTAGGTAAAAAAATTCTAATTGGCTGAAATATTCAGTGAATCGAAGTGAAAATGGAGATATGAAATCATCAATCTCATGCATTAGTACGGAGTTTATTAAAAAATATGTAAATGAGACGAGAAATCGTGATAGATTTTTCATTTTTAATTTTTAGTCGTATTCACCTGGAATTAAAGAGCGAACACTCTCGATCGGAGGGCGCGCCTTGACAGAATTTATTACATAAAATTTATATATTTAGATAATGCAATAATTCGAGCAACAGAAGGTCCATCTTTGTCATTTAGTTTTATTCTTCTTCATTATAATTACGATTAATCCATTCTTCGCCTTTTTCATCGTTAATACTTTTATGTGCGCCAACCGCCTATAATTATTATTAAATAGGTATTCCCTTATTTTTTCATTTTATTTAATTTTTTTTGCATTTTTTTTTTCGCTGTCAGATCTTAAACGATGTCTTACTGAGATATACTTTGACTTAATATTGAATATTTTACTAGTTTTTTTTTTCCTGCACCGAGGAAATCGGTGTATACTAGTAAGGTTTATTAGACCTTAAATTACAGACTAGCGGGCAATCTTTCTTTTTTCTTTTCATTTCCTGATCTTTCATAGTATTAGCCCTGTTATGGAGTATTTTTTCGATTCATTCCTCTCTTTGAATCTCAAATTTTTTCACATTGAGATCACAAAGTCTGCGCATTAATGATAATCGAGAGGTATTCATCTGATTTTATTATGAGAATTGGTATTTATTCGTCAGCAAGATTGTGGTCGTAATATATATTAAATTTGCTCAATGAAAATTCCCCATTATTAATGCATTAAAAAAATCAAGATGGGAACGTAAATCGGACGAATTTAATGAAATTATTTGACTTTTGATTGATTTATGCAATAAAATATTCATGTCGATCATTTTAGTGACAAGAAGGATTTTCCGCGCTCTTCATTCTCGACTATAATTAATTAATTAATTGGACTCGTAACATTTAACATCGGTGATGTCAATTATACAAGAGCGCGGAGAATCTAGGGGTCAGATAAATCTTAATGATGATTATTTTCATCGAGGAATTATTTTAGTTAATTGAATCACCAACGAAAAACCACCAATTCTCATTTTATTTCGTCACACGCGGCATCCCTTTTGTTTCATTTATATACTCCATACCCAAATATTCATTTGAATAATTTTTAAATTCGCAATCTACTCTCAAAATTTCCGGCAAATTGAAGTATCAGTTTTGGCAATAATAAAATTAAATAGTCTCTCAGCATAGAATTGAACAATGTTAAAACTTGGATAAAAATAATTCATTACAAAACAGAATTTCACATAAAAAATATTATTACAAAATTCAACTCACAGTAAACTGTCGGTGATGACTCGTTCCTGGAAGAGTGTGAGATTAACAATCTGAAAATTCAACTGGAACTGCAAATTAATTTATTTGCACATCTCGTTAACTTCTGTTACTTTATTCCTGCAAAACCGAGTAAATATCTCTAGGAATTATTCTCAATGGTAAACAATCGGCGCTTATGAGTGAAGTAAAATTTATCCATAACGAATCTCACAATAATCGGGTAGAAAATAGTTGAAATTTGTTTATCCCATTTTTCTCTCTATTCTCTCTGCATTTCTCAAAAAATCGATCGAGATTCGAGATCGCCGCGCGCAACGTACGTAATCAACATCACTTTGTTTACCTCAAGTACTTGTATTGGAAGTATATATATATAATGTTTTTTTTTTTCGTATTGATCTGTGGATAATCTCATCTATGGATACTTTCTGTTCTCTAATTCACAAGAATTAAATCTTTGATATCAATCATTCAATTTTAATATCAACAATTTCTCTGTTACGTATTCGGATGATTTGAAATGAAATTCGCCGAGGTTTATGTCAATTTTATATCGATTTATCTCATCATTAATTGTTGAAATTTTTTTTAATTGCACTCTTTCATGGATATTTGCAGCACAACTAAATGCCATTCGAGCCCGGAGTAATTGCTAAGTAATGGTAAAAATAAATGAGCTATGCAGCTCGAAAAGCATCCAGTGATGATGAAACGGTTTGAAGTATTGTTCGAGTTGTTTAAAATCTTTCTAGATAAGATATAACAATGGATCTATACATCGACACCTGTGAAGTGCCCACATATATATTCATAAATATATCATCCCCCTGGATATATCTTCGATCCATAATTCCTCTATATTTCAGCGTTACACTCTCAGCATTTCGGCTTTCAATCCATCCAATTTTTCAAATTTTCTTATTACATTATATACAATTAATTATCTTAATCCTTATAGTTTTTTCAATATTATTGCTGTCCACACTGCAGCATCACTCGATCTTACGTATTTCCATTTTGTATTTAAAATTTAATTCTTCATATAAATTAACTGATTAATTAGAGACTGATATCACCTGGATATCATTGACTAGAATCGATTAAAGCTCTTACTTTCCATGAATTGAAGAATTAATATGTTTAAAATAAATCTGAGATAAAATATGGGGTAAAAATCGAACTCGTCAATTGTGCATTTGTGTGAAAGAGTGCCAATCTTAAAAACGGTTGAAAATCATCACTTTGCATTATACAATGTCTCATAAATCTTTAAACTTCATTTTCACGTAAAATTCAAAACCCTGTAAGTGATTAATATTTTCCTTTTTTTATTTACTTGTTTGGTTTTTTTTTAATCCACTGGTTCCTACGCTCTATTTGATTATAAATATTCTCGCAAGAGTTATAATATCTAACAATGAATTCATTTACTCGTAAAATCTTGCAAAGTCTCCGTGCAACGAAGTCTCATTCTCAATATTATAAAGTATAATGCATTAAAAAATCTGCATAGGATTGTTGAGATCAGTCGGCATATATATTTATCTCTTTTACAACGTGTACAACGATACAGCTACTGTTTCACACATTGTGTTACCATTCTCAAAGAGTTCATTGTGTAGTTTATCGTACCAAATTATGCAAATAATACATAAAGTCAATACAATAAGAATTGGAAGAGGAGTGGATGAAAAATATTGGAAAAACGGAAGAGATAAATTTCATAATAGTTTGCAGCAGAGGACAGCAAAAATAACAAAAAAAAAAAAAGGAAACACTGACTAGATTCAAGTTACACGATATTGAGTTATAGTGTTACCTCCGTGTTTAGTTTTTTTTTCTCTCTTCAAATCTACTGCTTACTCTATTAACGTTAATTTCAATAGTTTTATTATATAATTTTTTAAATTTATTCTCCCCTTCGTGCGATATTTTTCTGTTTGCGAATTTTCGTTTCTGTGTTCTTTTTTTTTTTTTTTGGATTTTTCATTTTTAATTTCATTTGGCTTTTAATAAACTTAAACGTGATTATTAAAGTTAGATTGTTGAGCACAATTATTGATTTCAATGAGTGACTTTCGGGAGGCGCTGTGGGCCGAGTTGATTTCATTGAATTCACCGGCCGACTTACCCTTCCGCGGCAACGTTGTGGCTTCCCCGAGTGAAGGTAGCTCCCGCGGCTTCCAAATTGGCGAACCTAATTGACAAGAATTTTTCTTTTTGTCTATTTTTCTGTTTATCCATCTCTCCTAGATCTCTTCAAACTCAATTCGCCCCAGCGAATTCACATTTTTCACTACTTGCCAATTCGTCAACTAAATCAATCTAATTTCAGTGATGTGTCATCTGGGAGAATTCTCTACGCGTCTCGTTATCAATTTGCATTCTATAGGATGAATTATTGCGTGTTCTTTTTTTTCGTGAGGGAAGGCGAAATGATGAAGAATTAAATTAATTAAGGAGAAATGATGAACTGAACGAAAAATTGAAAACAAAAACTGAATAAACAATTTACACTCCATTTATCTTCATTCATAGGCGCCGACTTATCTAATTTGCATTGTCATTCTTATTGATAGTGTTCAATTATTTATAACAATTGAGTTATCACTACGACGTGTCTGTTTCAATTATTTATCAAGCTTATCACTCGCACCCTTCGGGAAAAACGAATCATCAGGCAAATTTATAACAATCTGCAAAGCACACAATTTTCACCTCCACTTATATTATTATTATTCATTAATTTTCAGTTTCATCTCTAAGATACCATTATTAATCTCAAAAATTTTAGGCATATCCAGGAATCTTTCATATTTCCTTCAAACTCATTTTTTTATAACTCTAATAGATAACAACAGATGCACAATATAAATACATGAACAATTTCACTAGAGCACAATGTGAGAACACTTGGGGCTAGTTGTTTAGAATATTTCAGTTTCTATCAACAAATCATCCGGCAGCAATGAAAAAGTCAAACTTTTGATAAAAAATTATGGAAAATGGATGTTTAATTTTCCCTTGATACTGCGTATTTAACACATTCAATTTTTAATAACAAGGGATAATGGTCGTTAGCTCTTTGCAATTAATTTATAATGAGCTCAGCTGTTGAATTTTTCCCTGAGTTGTTTATATCACGAAAAAGGTAAACGATCCATTTGCCAAGGAACCAAGTGACTTTCGAGTTCAAATCAAATGATTAATATATTTTTTAAGTGCTCGAGTATTCAGAATTTGGGCGGGATAAATTGTTCATATATTCTCGGTAATCACTTGAGGGGAAATAATATATATGGCGTGCGCGAGCAAGCGTGCAACAAAATTTTGTACATATGTAGAAAAATACCTACACATGTTTAGAATTTAATTCCGAAGGAAACCCGAGTAGTCGACGCCTATGACTCAGAATATAACATGCAAATAATATTGCTATCACGATTCATTATTACATTATTTCAATATCTTCATTGCAAATCCTATTGCGATGGTACGAGACAAATGTTTTTATGCAGACTCTACATCAGCTAATTTACTTGTAATTTACCTACGGTCTACTTTATAATTAAAGAAAAAAAAAATAGTATGCAAAAGTAAATGAATCGCGTAAACTTAAAATAATGGATGAATAAAAGTGGATAAATGGTTTTTTAAAAGAGACGGGGAATTATGATGAGTGCGTTAAAACTAAACCGCCAACTCATTAAACTTGTCTAACTGTTATCCAACTTTTTTTGGTAACTTTGTGCGCCTCTTACCGAGCTCCTTAACCATAGGTGGTTGATAATTCTCCGGCTGATGGGAGGATTGTATAAGCTTTGCTTGACTGCCAGTGCTACCAGCTGATATTGTTGAAGTTGTACTCAGCGTGAGATGATTTGGTGTTCTACCCAGATTAGTCTTCTTCTCGCTTAAAAATCCCTGTGAGTCCTCCTCACCTTCCGATTTCGTTCCTGAATCCATATCAACTTTTACTTCACCTAAAATAATTCATTAAACAACACCAAACAATACCACAAATACGTATCTCAATTTTTCAACAACAAATGAAAGAAGATAAAGAAATTGGAGTAGATTTTGAAGTGACCGGACCAGCATTGAATGATTAAACACAAAAAATGTTAAACTTTCTTACAAAAAGGATGATTACAAATCATTGATCAATCATCTCGAACTGATCTACAGCGACTTCAAGGTACTCTCATTATCGTTACAATAATGGTGAAAAAATTCCATGAATTAATGAATTGCGTGAAATAAAATAAATGTTTATGCATTACTTTGATGATTAAATGAGAATGACATGTAAGCACCTGTGGTATCGCTGATGGTTTTACTCCGTGTGCGAAATGATGTATGATGATGATGATGATGAAGTGGTGGGTCCTCACCCTCTCTGTCTTCCGAACTTTCATGCTCGACCGATGCCTTTGATTGACTGTGTTTTCTTCTCGAATTCAACGTATTGGATAACATCTGCTGTTTGACAGCCTTCTTCGACAATGTGCCAGTATTACCATTACCATTACCATTCTGACTCTGACCCTGTAATTGCGACTTATCAAATTTATCAACGTGTCCCGTCGACATTCTCGGCGCCATGGACATTGGCTGGCTCATATTCTGCTTAGTAGATGGTATACTCATATTTCTCACTGATTCACGAATTATCTGACGAATTGTCTTCAAGAACGCATTTCTGAATTCCGTCGTGCTGATGAATTAATAATACGGTAATATTACCACAGAATAATTATCGGCTGAATCAATATTTAAATTGTTGACAATTACCTGTTCGACAAGACATACACCTTCTCCGAGCGTCTCTGCAATTGACTCCTCAGGTGAATCAATTCCCACAGAAAATGCGATTCCATGTCTTTCGCTGAACTAGCACGAACCTGCACTTCAGTCACGGGTATCAGTACTTGATACCGAATTATTTCAACTTCACTGGAATTCGTTTTCGTTGAAACCCCCTAAAGTTGAATTACAATTGAAATTTTATCGAATCCGAACAACTGAAATGTTTAAAATTGCTCGACGATTTACCATTAATTTTTTCTTCTGCCTCAACCGCTCCTTGCAGAGAAACACAACAGCCGATTTAAATACAAAACACATGGCATGTAGCTCGAGACCTTTTTTTATTTTTCCCAGGAAATCCGAGATATTCAGCCACTCGACGCCACCGTAGTAGAGTAAATCACCGGGGCTTAAATCGATTGGCTGAAAATGTTGAGAGGTGAAAAAAGGAAATAATTGCATCTACCGATTTGTCGCATTTCCATTTCTCAGAAGAAAATCACCAAGTGCTATTCCTTTTATTTTATTGAATTCCATCAATTTATCCCCTGATTGTCGTTACCTGTTTGCAGGACTTCTGATGCTGTCTGAATAAATGATCAAAAATTGCTCCATATTCCTCGTGAATTCTCTGCATTTCGTTTATATGCTCAGCGACCTTCTCCATGCCCTTCAATGCCTCTGCAATAATTCATATCATACGAGAATAGCCGATGAAATGAGCTGTATTGATTAATCAAATTAAATGATGCATACCCAAGGCTATGGTAACATACCAATCAAATGTTGATGCTCTTCGCTACGGTCGTCCGTAAGATTCTTCAATTGTTGAAGAAGCAGTGGATATTTGAGTATCCTTTGAATAGGCTTTATCAGATAAGACTCTAAAGTCGATGAGTGCTGTTGTCGAGGGTTTCGTGCTTGGAGAAATTCTTGCAGTGCTTGATTCCCCTCATCTTATTTCATTTCAATAGAGAACAATAAGTTATTGTTAAAACATTATCGGAATATTTCATTTATATATCAATCACTGAGATACTAACTCGGATGTAAAACTTTTTGGGCCTTTGAATGACTGGCGCAGAACGAGCTGTACAATTTGAAGTGATTCACGTAATATAAGAAGGCACTTCCAATGGAAAACAGGACACCCTAAACATTCATTAACAGTTATGATAAAAATTTCCATTTTATTGATGACACATTCCGCTAAATTAAAAAAATTTTCCATTTTAAATTACCTTAAATTGACTTGGATGCTCAAAGTTGTTGAAATCAGCCTCCATTTCAATGGCATGATCGAGATTCTGTAAAAATTGCCTCTGAAACGTTACGATCTCTTGAATATTTCCAAACAGCGCATTGATTTCGGCATTCGACAGGAATGTTTCACGCTTTAACGGCTCCAAGTAATTCTCCAATAAATTATTTAAATTCTAAAAAATCCAGCGAACGTACAGGGTTAATAATTTTTTTTCTGATATGCAATTAAAATTAATTGACATTGTCATGTATACAACTGACCTTCACGTACGTTCGCTCTGTCTCAATGAGCTCACATATGACTTTTTTAAGTTTTTCCGCATCGCTGAGCTGTCGGCTCGGCGTTAATACTTGAGAGTGTGAACTAACAACACTACCAGTTGGACTGGATTTTCTGGTATCACCAGGTGAACGACAAATACCAGTGACTTGTTCAGCAGTCTTGAGAAGATTTTCAATTTCAAATGAATTCGTACGCGATGTTTGCTTTCCATTATCAAGGTGAGAACCTGGGATTATACACTCTTGCATTATACCTTCTTTGCCTATAGTTTGAAAGAACACCAACACACCATCTTTAAACTTTTCCTTCGCTTTTCTCCGTTTTCAATTTTTTCCATTGCTCTCTTTTTTCATTAAAAAAATGTACACATACAGGATTTATGGAATAGCAAGGACTGGCTGTTGTCCTCATTATCATTAACTCAAAAAAAAAAAAATAAAATAACTGAAGCAGCGGTGGTCACTAATGAGATCATTACAAAATCCAAGATAAATAAAAAGTTGGCAAAGATGTGGGAGGAAAGAGGAGAAAAATAATAATGAGCGATAGACTGACGATGAAAAGAGAGAATGAAATATTTCTGATAAATGACTCACTTCGTCCTGGGGCTGGTACTATAAGTCCGGATATCATTTCTTCGCTTATTACGGGGGGATCTGTTGGTGGAGGTGGACATACCAGGCTATCAATATCATCCATTACCCTCATAAGATCAGGGGGTTCTGTTCTTGATGAGCGCATCATCATGCAGAGCGCAAGTTCCTCCTGAAGGACACTCTCGAGATACATCATATCGAGATCGCTGACAATAGCACCATTTATGACCATAATCTCGTCACCCTTTATAATACCTGATACAATAAACAATTGCCTTGAATCACCAGCAGATTATTATTTAATTATTCTCCCTCCCATTCTTCATCTCAACGAAAATCAACCAAATGTGAAATATATCCTTGACAGGTAATAAATGCGATCATCGTGTTTACTTCCACCCAATCCCTTTATCATTGCTACTTCATTATACCGCTAAGCATGACCCTGACAAACATGAGAGACATTTTAAAAAATTATCAATAGACCATCGAAGCGCGGATAGCACAACCTTTGCTTAACCATCGATGAGTGAGCGACGAGAAATCAATAGATTCTAAAATACCGTTTTCTTCATTATTTTTCATCTAGAATACGCGCACTGTCCTTGCAAGCACGACTCTGTCATTTTCATTTTATCCTTCGTGGTATCATTGGTATTTTTAACCCATAATGCACGCAGACTGGATTTTTCTTCCAGAGTTTTGATCAGGAATATAAAGAGAGAAAATAAGAATTGGCTAAAGGGTTCTCTCTGCGATTCCTCGTGGGACTCCGTCCTCTCAAATATTTACCATTCTGCATCGCCACACTTTTATCTTCAACTCGGCTGACGTAACAGCACAACTCATCCTGTCGATCTGAGTTCTCAATCAGTTCAGCCTCAACGGAGAAGCCCCACATCTGGTCAAGGGTATTACGCTGTAGCTCCACTTGATAAAGTATTTTAGCGCACACCTCCACCATCTCGTGTGTGTGCAACTGAAATAATTTCGATGATATTTTTATTTGACAATCTGTCGGCTGCTATTGACTCTCGCTATTACTTACATAAGTCTCTATTCCATCATTTCTATGAGGCACAAAATAATTATGATCCTCCATATCACGACGTTTCTTCACTCTGACAAAGTGCTCCATAGGATTGAGGCCCTTTCTACTACATGCACTCGCTAAGAACTCTTCTACAGTCATACTTTCACGTAAATACACGGATACAAGCTGAAACGCAGAGATATATCGTCAATATTATTTATTTCAATCATCTACCATATAATTTATGTTTTTATATTGTTATCGAAGGCTGGTGTACATCGCTGCCTCCATGGTAAATCACACCTTGTAATTAACGCGGTAATTGAATCGAAGGCTAATTAATGCCTACAGTGTGCCGAACGTGCGTGATACGGGCTGAAGGAAGCAGGCTTACCAAAGGGTCTTGCGTATCGATTACCTCGCTGCTATCAGTGAATTTTCGATTGCATTCGATAAAGTACAGACGGAATTTGTCATGACGGTGTTTCATAAAAGAGGTGCATCACTATCACTAGCTATTTTTTTTTTTCTCTGCGATAGGTGACGGGGCCATGCATTTCGTAGGACGTGGCCTCTTTCCTCGCTATTCTTCATCTCTCAAGTATTTCTTCATGAGACAAATACTATTTAATGACATTTATTTCACTCCGACGATTTTTTCGATTTTTAGATTTATAGTGAATTTTTACTCCATCTCTTATTTTTTTTTTTCTTCTTTCTATTTACAGTCCCGTCGTTCGCGCTCTTGAGTCAATTGGTTTTCTCAATTGTCTCACTTAGTTTGAAGAAGTACAATTAATTACTCCCGTGAGAATTAATGAGCTGCACCGGAATTGTTATATTTTTTCGCGACGCATTCATTGGTTTCATGGGATTAGTCTTTCTAATGCTGTCGCAGAAATAAAGGTTTCGACTACTTTCGAATTACTGTAGACTCCCGTTATCGTCGCACCTCTCCTCAATTTCTGTTTTCGCGGATCTCTCGGTTTCCCACTCCACTACCCCCGGGGTTCAGGATGTAAACAATTAATTATTTCATCCAATAATGAATTGAATCGAATCTCGAAAAAACTACTGTACGTTTAAAAAGTTTTATAAGATTGAAACAAAAAAATTGACTGGTGTTTCAAAGGGATTTGTTTATTCCTCAATTTATTATGGATTGATTATTTAATAAAATAAATAAATTATACAATCCGCCGACGGATTAATTTCTTTAATGACTTTTCTCTGGGAAAAAGGAGATGGGGATGAAACTTACTTGATTTTCGGGTACAGAAACTTTGACACTCTTCTCATCATCTCTTGAGGATATCTGGAGTGATCTACGGCTAGAGCCGCTGTTGGATCTTGACAAAAGTGGCGGTCTCCTCTTTGTGGCACCACGACCAGCGAGCAAATTGTTGAGCAAGGATGGGCTACGTGCACAGATGAATGCGTGGAAAGATGATACGGTGAATACACCGAGTTTGTTTAGGGTTTGCTTCGTAGCTCTAGACACGTGGGTCAACAGACTCTGTGGAAAAGCATTCGAGTGACTCAGAGAATTAATTTTCAAGTTGATACCCACTCAAGGGCTTTGAAAGAGGAGAAATGAAAATCAATATTCAGTGATAAAATAGTTATATCAGTATGCAGTTTATTGATAAAATCTGGCTCCATTGTACCTTGGGATTTGGCAATTCTCCACTCTGCAAACTCGCCATGTAACACCGTAACCGAAATTGTTCGCAGTGCAGCCGTTCAAGATTTTCCTCCCACTGCACAATCTGATTATTAATTTCCTGTTTCGTTTCGACATCGGAAACAACCGACTGCTGGAGATCAGCCATGTGTTTCAATTTGTAATCCTAAAAGGATTTTTCAAGAGTTTAAAACAAAACGACAAACAGAAACTCGACATCTCTGTCAATGCGCATTGAAATTGGATAACGGAATTAGTGACTGACCGATTCAATTGCCTTTTCCAAACGGAAAATTTCCTCCTGGAGAAGATGCAGGGTACCAGTTTTGCCACGATGTCTTGCGAATGCTGCGGCACACGCCGAGTGAATACTATTCACCCAATTCTCAAGTTCAACTTGACACGGCGCCTGGGAGAAGACAGAAAGAGAGAAAAAACAAGGGGAAAATAAAAAATAAAAAACAATGGTCCTTATGAGCAAGGCAGATTCGATGGTTCATTGTCCCCACTCTGCCATCGTCAATAAGCTCTCGGTGAGAGAGTCTGTAGAGATGGAATGGCGAGTGGAAGAGAAGAAAGACCACCTAGAGTGGTAATACTCTTCATAGTTCACTTTGAAATAAAAGGAAAAATCCTCGAAAAAAAAAATCTCTTCAGCAAGAGAAGAAGAAAATTGTACACAGTTCAGAGTAGGTCGGCATTTTCTTTCTACGAAAAATTATCCCTATCAAGTATTTTTTAAAGAAATTGAAAATGAAAAAAAAAAAAACACTGGCTGCCCTATTTCCAGTGAAATAAATCACCGTGGGATGATTTCTACTTGTCTGCTAATCAAAAAATCTTCACTTACTTGGAAGAGATATGCATCACCAAATGCTGTACTCAGGCAGAATATGTAGTCCCTCTTTGGATGTTCAGGAATTGGTTGCATGATAGCACCGTCGACGATAATGAGGTGCTTCGGGGCAGTCTCAACTGCTCTGCTCTCGTGTGAATCACAAGGATAAAAAAGAAGTGTCGTACCCTTCAGACACACCCAGTATCCCTTCCAGCCCCGTTTTCGGGCCAATTCAATCTGATGTTTTTTACGCAACAGCCACTTCTTCACACTGAGAAATCTAAAAGCCAGGGACCAGCGTCAAATTCATTAGCATCATAAATACCAATCAATTGTCTATTCAATTTTTCATCCACTCACCCAGCTTTGCGCACTGCTCCAGTGCAGTTGAAAGATGCAGCAGCAGTGCCGGTCTGTTTAGCCCTGTATGGTGAATTCATCACACTCTCCCCATCATCATCGTCGCTCACTGCTGTCGTCAATGACATCCGGTCATCATCCGACATCTGTCAAAATACAATGATAAGAATATAAAAAAAGCTTTTGGTGCAATTTTCATTGGAGAGCACAGGAATTTATAATATTCCATGAGGAATGGTGTACCTTCTTTGGACCCGTTAGTCCATTCGTGACCCTGATCTCAGGATCGAAACAAACGATTTTTTTCAAAAATTCCGCATTACAATCGTCCGCAGTCAAGTGCGGATGGTAATGACAATAACAGCTCTCCTTGAGGAGCTTCATATTCTTCTTGGATGATCCATTCATCTTGAACATTATTCCTTTCTTAGCCTGACTGAGACCGTCAATGTACCGATGTGCCCACGCACTCAATGCCCCATTTATTATCTTCAATATCTTACTGTAATACCCCTCGCTATCAATCTGATTGACCTTCTCCTCCACACTTTTGCAATTGAACCAGTAAAATTTTTTTGTATCATCGATATTTATTACACTTATTGTGTGACGTTTGCACAGGCAGAAGTAATTCTTGCACTGTCTTTTATGGAGTGTTTTGAGATCTGTGTATCTCTCGGAGAGACTGCTACCACTGGCACTCAACAGATCTGGAAAACTAGACGCACCAGCCAATCGGCATTCCTGATCTACCATACTTTGCCAAGACCAGACTGTTTATGAAGAGAAAGCCTCACCAATTTGAGACTAAGGAGAATAGGGTGGAGAAAAAGAAAAAATCCCCACTCACATTAAAAACTCCGTGGACTTGGTGTCGTTTATATTGTCGACTATCTCAGTCGTTGCTCCAAATTTCAACAATTGTCTTCGATGACACTGGATGGATTATTCGTCTCTCTGGTCTTTCATTATTGTCCTCGAGTCACTTGGCAACTTGTCTCTCTGTGTATCTCCACTGATTATCGATGAGAAAACGAACAACTCTTATGTACATTATTTTTTCTAATGTAACTATTCTCTCTAGGTATTTATACGTCGAATGAAAATAGGCGCTCAATTGTACCCTGTAATCGCGCAAAGAGATCGCACTGGATTGTCCTGATTCAGGATTAATTCGTCGTTGATTCAATTGAAATTCACCGGTTTCAGCAGACGTGTCCTCCCTTTCCCTGATCACTCAATCATCACGGAATTATGGGGACAATCCCTCGGGGGACAACTTCCCTCTTTCGATCTCTCTGTGATGATTTGGACGAATTAGTCGTGGAGATTATTTTCTCACCACGTTTTAATTACTTTCTTTCACTCTTCATTCCTCGCTCTCTCTCTCAATTGTTTATGGCTGTTTGATTTTCAAATGGAACTGCTCAAGTTAATTTCCACTGTACATTTCAAGTGCCTCTCGCATTATCAGACTCACAAGCGGTGAAAACTCTTTGATCGCAAACTTCAAGCCACAAATGACAAGTGTATATGTGACGTAAAGAGCAAATATCTTACAAGCTCTAAGCATCTTACAGTTTTTCTCGAATAATCTCTATGATTTCATCAACACTGATTATCCTCTAATACTCTTTTATTATATCTCCAAATTTAAATTTTATCTTCTATTTTTGATCAATCAGTAAAGCTTCTGTATCGGTAATTGTATATAGAATATTTCTCTTGAATATTGAAACAGACTGTCCATATAAAAATAATGGCAATATTTTTTTAATTCTTTTACTCTCTAATACTCTCTCTCTGTTTTTTTTTTTGCAGTAATTATCTATTTCTCTTTTAACATTGCCACATTTAGTGAATAATAGAATATTGTACGTTAAGTATATGCAACAACTAACGACTCATGAGTGTCAGTTTAACAAACTCCACAAGTGTTGAACCATGTCGATGTGCCAGACGAGGGGAAAATGGCACGTTATATTATTATAGGAAGTTGTTGGCTAATAGATGATACGAGTGAATCGTTCTCCAACCGGATATCAGCGCGTTCAGTCCAGACAATCGCATCCAATTTCTATTTAATCTACTATTAATTACTTATCTCTCTCTCTCTGATGTTTTTTCACAAGCCTCTCTTCAATATCCAGGTACTAGGGCAATTACTACTTGCGTAGTTTCAAAGTGATAATCACTAATTTACAACGTGGCTCATCCTTTCCACGAATCTCCTCCACTCAATCTCAAAATCTCTCAATACTCAACCTATTGATCATATTTTTATTCAATAAACGTCAATTGTTGTGTCACTCTACATTGATTTTATTACAAACTCCAATGGCCTGTCAAATATTTTCGGTTTTATCATCAATCACGATACAATATCCGATCAATCACAATCACCCGGCATCACAGAATAAAATTCAACGTTTATTTTTATTACTCCGCATGCGATTATCGCACAAATAATCTCAAGTTGGTGCATAAAGGGTTATCCGACTGCTGGTTGATGAGGAGATGAAATGCAATTGCTGCATTAAAGTATTCCAATGTGTCATGGTTGTTCGTCAACAAGAAACATGAGCGTCGCAATGTATCACTCACGAGAGCCAAACGGCGACTCACTGAGTCGCTCATTGGCATGCATGCTCGATAAATTGCTTCATCAATCCCGTCACCTTCGTGTCACACAATAAATTAATCCTTTATCCCAAGCCCTCCCTCTCTCACCCCCTCCAAAATCCCAGTGTCTGACTAAATCAAAGTACGCACTACTTGGCGAACAACCGTCAAGACGTACAGATAAAAAATAGGTGATACTTGGAACACCGAATGTCCTCGGGGGCACAACGCACGTCAGATGAACGTCAGATGATAACGTTGAGGGAGAAAAAAAAAATATGTGTAATGAACACAAAGTGCAGTGAGTGCAGCGCACGTATATAACAAACCGCGCCTGTCCGTTAAATGCTGTTATATTCCCTCACAACCGGCAAAAACCGGGTTATAACGAACAGGGGTAAGCTCGATTTGTTTTCCCCTTGCAGCAGACCTCCAGACTGCGCTGATGGGAACTGGTGGAAATAGTGGAACTAGGTAGGATAGCGGAATGAGGTGGTGCGAGGGGTGGAAACAACACAGCAGGTTCCAAGTTCCTCCTCTGTGCACCACCACCTCCTCCACCAGTATTCAACCTCTCGCTTTACCTAGATCTATCTCACTTGCTCCTCCGTGCTTTTATACCACTATGAGAATCAATACTAGAGCCTGATGAGAGCTATGTCGACGTCCGCGAGGGCGCGCAAGCGAGAAGTACACAGGGCATTACATGAGATGAGGTGTTTTATTTTTTATCATTTTTTTTTTTATTTTTTTTTAAACCTTCTCTTTTTTATTCGATGTACATTGCATGTGCATCGCGCATGTTGGTAAACTCTTACCTCCACCAATATTCATCTATAGATATTCTGCGGAGGTGCCATGAGTCAATGAAAAAGAAACACTTGGGGAATCGGGTGTTGGGGTGTCTTGTTATCTGTTAAGCAATGAGGACTTTTTCCTCTGCATCCTCCATCGGCAACTCCATCCACATGTTTTTTTTTTTTTTTCTATTTGCTGTATCTTCTGTACCTGTGGATGATGCATTTTTTACTCCAGCATTCATCTTCTTGTGGTCTTTTATCCTTTTGGCGTTGGGAAATGTGCAATTGCAGGGGACCAACCCGACCATTAGCTCAGATATGCATTTGCGCATGTACCTGTTGGCAGCCCAAGTTTTGCACCCACTTTTTATGCAACACTCGACACAGAGCAATCTTTTGTGTTTGTAAAGCATAACGGAGCAAAACGGGTCAAATTATTAGGCGGTTTTATTCCCGTTCTTTTTCTCTCTGTTGTCTGATTTTGTTTTATCAATTGTGGGAGTTAATTTTTTTTTAGTCTGTGGTTTTATTTATTTATCTTTTAGACTTTTGTCTTGTTTCTGGGGACTGGGGGTTCTCGGAGTTGGTCGCCTGAAGGAAATAGTTGGAAAGTTTAAATGGCAGGGAAAAAGTACTGAGGGGTAAATAAAATGGGATTGGCATACACGAGGATACAAGGGGTGAGAGATAAAAGTAGTGAGGGGTTTTAGGTACGGGATTCTTACTTCACTCTGATATAAAACTCTGGTGCAGGGTCAGTAGGTTATCGATATTTGTCCTCAGTTGTAAAAATAGATTCACGGGGCCGGGACAAATGGGTGGATTACGGTGGTTTAGATTTTTTTTTTATAAAATATATTAACATCAAAGGGATATTGAAGTTGAAAGAGTTAACCATCAGGGGATTAAGTACATGGAAATCCAGATGTATTTCCCATTTTTCTGCTGAAGATATAATTTATGCAGTTGAGGCATTCATCCCTTCCCCATCATGCGCAGATTTTTTCATGATATCAATTTGTGTTAAAACAGAATATTTAAAAAATTGCGAGTTCTTTTTAAACATATTCTCGTGATATCCTGCCCTTAGGCATGAGCGATTTTTCCTCAAGGATGTCATTCCTCGGAGGTGGAAATTCATGATCAGGTGAGGGCCATTTCAAATTATCCTAATACGAAAGGAATATTCAAATTGAAATTGATGTCGATAGGATCGAGGTCAATACTCCATGGAAGTGTTATCAAAATGGAATCTCCTTAACCAGACACTGATATACCGTATCTTATTGTTGATAAGATCCAAGTCGTTATGCTAACTCACCTCTGACGATGTCAAATAGCACAGCCTTGAGTCAGTACTCTCAAGTGATGCTTGTTGCACTATTCCATATCTGCTTTCTCTATCGGACATGTAATCCGACCTGACACTGTCCTGTCTATCGAATGTTCCACTGTAAAAAATGAAATAAACAAATTTCTCGTTGATTCCACTAACTTTCCATTCAAATTATCATTTTTCTTGTCAAGTCTCTCCAAGACTCGAGCATCAAATTAATGAATAAAATTGAGGTTGAAGATTTTACGATTGATTTTGTCGGGCAAAAGTTTAAACACCACCTGCCCCAATTCTACTCTCTTAACTCGCAAGTTCCCATTATTGACAGATCTCCAATATATTTTCATGAGTTTAAAAAACTTCGGGTAAGTTTGTTTTAAAAATTTTTTATTGCAAAACCCAATGAAAAAAGCTCGACTCACCGGTGCTCGAGGGAATCAGTTCTGTTGGACTTGTATCCACTATCGTTGAGACTTCCCTCGTGGCGGAGTGATGGCAGAGAATCCCAGGGGGATTCACGTCTGTGTCCACCGTAGCCAGGGTTTATGGAATTAGATTGGGCCGAGCCAAATGTTGAGCTGCCTGAGTGCCATCCGTCCGAGTGACGAAACCATTGGGCCCTGGCTGAGCTTCCAATGCAGCTTGCACAACTGCATCAACACAATCATCTCATTCATCATCAGCATTTCAAAAAAATTCTAAACTTGAAGTCTTGCTGCATATTCTTTTAACAATCGGAATGGATTCTCTTTGATTTCCTATCAAAGGGCTCTCATCGTGAAAATATATTCAAGATGTGAAAATCCTCAATGGAAAATAGGAAAATGAAGGGAAATTATGATAAAATATTCATCACTTACTTCGAGTCATACTTGGAATTATAATCACTGAGATATCCACGCTCTCTTTCCGCCTCGCGATCCCTCTTCTCCCTTATTATTTCATTTCTATCACTGTAATATCCATCACGATCCTTGCTGTTCTGTCTCTCATTGCAATACCGATAGGATAGCGGCAATGTCGATGATTTATTAGAATTTGAGCCTATATTGTACACAAAATTGCCATCGTCATTAGTATCGATAACTTGTATTTCCTCATCGTCATTTTTCAAATCAAACAATACAGTCTTTTCAAAACGTCCAACAAGTTTCCAAGCGTCACGCGATGGTGACTCGAATGACAGGTACCAAGAGGCGATACTTTGTCGACGACGAAAGCTCATTATCGGCGGTTAAACTAATTACCACCTCGTCTATGATAAATATTGTACAGGATTGGAAGAATAATAATGGTTTATTAAATGTACTTACGCCTGCGCGATGCGTGTGGTGTGCGTTGTACATTAAGTGGGATGTTCTCGGCAAATTCTGAAAGTAATTAATCGATCGAGTTTATTATTAAGTGAAGGCTTTATCACTTTATCACGAGAGTAACCTAGGCTGAGTGTCAATTGATAATCACCCAAATTCTCCATGCTCTGAGTGAGAAGTGCCTCGAACGTGTGGAGACTGTAACTCTCAGCATCCATTCCCTTGGCCAATGTATTCCTGAGATGCATCTCGTACTCGAGCAGCAAACGACTCGATGGACTACCAGGTGTTGAGGCCGACTGCATATTCTGCTGCTGATGATGATGCTGCTGCTGCTGTTGCTGATGCTGTTGCTGGTGTTGCTGCTGCTGCTGTTGATGATGATGATGATGATACGACTGGGCCGAATTGTAACGACGACTGTTGCAGTGATTTGGCTGCTCCATATCTGAATTACCATTTGACGAGCTTGGTGTTGTAGCATAGCACTGATTGTCGAAGATAACGTTGTCTGATGGAGGGGAAATATCACCTGCGCACCGATTACGTTCCAAATCTAAGTACATCCTGCCTCTGCCGCCTAAGACAGAGCAGATGATTGCTACGTGCTAATACATGATAAGACAATTGGTGCAATGAATATGATGAATTAATCAAGAGACTACTCTGGATTCTGATGATTCCATGAATAGTGAACTTGTGAATAATGATGATGGGAGATATTTAAGTGAGGGTTACTACACTATGCATTCATGCAAATGAATCATCAAACTTGTAAAGCAATTAGCCCAGCAAAATAATTGATCAAACACATTTGAAAATACTGTAGTAATACCATTATAGTGACGACCCATATCGTGAACACTCCTTGACCCTGGAAATTTGTTGTTGTACGGACTTCTGTATGGATGAGCATAATTCTCATTCTCTGCCTCTGACTGTATGTACTTCTGATTATTGTTATTCGGGTGATAATGATAGGGATGATGGCTGTGACGTTTTCTCGTCATTTCAGGTGACGTTGCAGGACTATCGATACTTGACATTGGTTTGAGCATACGTTTCAGTGTATTTGGATCAAGGCTTATACCACCGTTCTGAGCATTCTCGATTCTCATGTCATCTGTACTCTTACTCTTAGATTTTCTACTGTTATTGTTATTGACAATGTTGAAGATATTACCGTTTTGCATTTCTAGCTCGGTATAATCCGCTGATTTAGTGTGATGCAGTTGCTCTTTGCGGTGTGATTTACTGCTGTGGAGGGTACCACCTGCTTGGGTTCCCTCCGATTTTAGGCTTTCACCACCGTTTTGGGTTGCACTGTCCTGGCGTTTTATTCCCTTTTGGGGAGAGATCGAGGTGCCCTTGTCGTCGGGACTGTCAATCTGCGGATTAATTAGATTTTTAGTTCAGTGTTTGGGCTCGTGGTTATTGGCTTGGGGTGATAATAATGTACCTGGGAACCCACCGTAGCTGTACCAATACCGATGTTCGCGGTTTTTGGTGTTGTTTGGCACGTTTCATTCTGCTTGTCTTTGACAGTATGTTTACATGAGTCACCAGATTTCGATGTTTTGCCCGGTGTATCGCCGGTATTATTGACATTATCGTAAAGCGATGCACTCGATGTTGCTGGTGCTATCTTGTCACGTCCTGGCGTCATCTCCATTTCTGAGGTGCGGTTCATGGTTCTGGGTAGTGTTGATGCGCCTGCGTATTGTTTGGCATTAATTTATTGTCAATAAATACACGACCCAAAAAATTATTCAATGAAAATGAGAGTCATGGGGTGCGATCGGTGGTTCACTTCATTTTTTTTTTCGCTAGGGACGACGAGCTTTCACCCATTTTAACTCGTATTTTAACTCATCATAATTCGCAGAAGTTTGTTGATTAATTCATTGTTTACAGTATTTTATTATATTTTTTTTGAGTTTTCCTTTGGAAAATGCGATAGAATGAAATTTGAATGATCGAGTCATGAAAGTAGTAGTAGTCAACGCTTGATGGAACGTATTTATTGTATTTCAATGAAAGCCTCATAATTCAAAAATGGAAATAGTCACATGAATTGAACATTTCCCACGTACAAAAGAATGCATTGGACTCTGTGATTGCCCGAAATCTGGGAGAAAATCATCTCACGATGATAAAAATCCCACGAGATTTTTACTAGACAAAAAAACACTCGGAGAAATACCAGGAATTCATATCAAAACTCGGAAATGACTCCTGGATTCTGCAAATCCCCCATCTTCGTCCGGACGTGGATATTTTTCAGAGAGAGTAATGGCAAAGTGAGCTGGTACATTGAACGTGATCACGAAAATGGCACGATAGAAATTATGACTGCTGGAGGAAAAATAGAGCTCCGGATTTTATTTGACACCCGAATGTAGATTATTCCTCTAACACCATTTTTTTTAAATCAAAGTGGTTTTGCTTGGATTCACATTTCACACATTTAAACTCGAGTTCGCACTAAAAAAACTCGATGAATAAAATTATTCTCTAATATTTTTATAATAACATCAGTGTAAAGCCCGATCAATTGATCACAAAACCGAAAATTCAATCAATCCTAATTAAATCTGATTTTAAAAATAATTCTTCACTCATCAATTTTTTTATACTTCTCACAAATGAAATATACAGTTTTATTTAAAAAATCGTCAGTTTCAAAGAATTTTTCACGTCACTCCAATTTTTTCACTCGTCAACGAAAATTCCAGGAAGAATAGCTTGTATGGTTTTCACACTGAATCAATGATATGATACGAATAAATATGTAAAAATCGTACCCTGGGACATAAATCTCGCATCTCGAGACCGAAGCCTGACAAATTGGTCCGGTGGCATACAAGTGCACTGTGGTGCTTTGGATCTACTCGGTGATGCTGGTGTTGAAAGTGGTTTTATACGTGGCTTGACCTTTTGCTTATTGGGTGGTTCGCTCGGTAGCTTGAGGGAGTAAGATGAGGTTGCTTTTCTTGGTGTCTTGGTTGATTGTGACTGGTGAACAAAATGCCAAAGATAAAATGCCAATCGTTGAGCCTTTATTGAATGTCAATGAACATACACCACTTACACAGCAGTCTTTGAACTGTTTAGCATCAATGGGTGATGTAAAATTGAGACCCCACGTGTCATGGGTCACCGTGTCCTTCCAGTAGATAAAGCACTCCGATGCCTGACCAATTCTAGTACCTTTAATTAAAGAGCAATATCCCATCAAATCCGTGTAACAATCTAATTTTCATGCAATAAAAGGATTACCTAAATTGGAGTGCGTGTGATTAACGAGAAATTTACGCAATTCGCATGAACAAAATAAATAAAAATCCCCCGTATATTCGCATATATGAAAGCTGGATACATTATTCATTGGATTCATCCATCAGCCTGTATTTTCAAATTTTCACCTCGGTAATTAAAAATTGCGTTCCAAACTAACGATGTATCCCATCACAAGTGAAATACTATCCCACATTCACACTGAACAATGCATTTCTTCGAAACAAGCAGGAGAAAAAAAAAACTGATACCCCGTATTTCTGAATGCTTCATTACGCTCTATTCAGTCAACAATTTTTTTCATTCTCCCACAGCTTGGTGCAAATAAATCATCCTTTCAGGTGTACATAATAGTTCTTGATTGAAATGAAATTTATTTACCTGGTTGGACCAGTCGTACATCCAGAATTTTATCAACCTGACTATTGTAGGCGCTGATATGGAAGACCAGTTCAGGTGAATCCTGGAGACAACGAATGTTGACAGGGACGAGATCCTCGGATACTTGTTGCCACTTGACAGTACCAGTACCACTGGCACTCACATGAAATACTTCAGCCCATAGTCTAAAAATACTCATTATTATGTCATCATTGGTATCAACAACAATTGGACTGAATTGATTAAATGATTACAGTGCGTGAATGTGCAATGAGAAATGGAGAGTGATGGTACTAAAAGAACCAGAATTTATTCGATTCTATATATAACCAACGCTACCAACTACTCGGCCAGAATTCGGGTGAGCAAGTCTGCGAAGAAAATCAAGAGAAAATAAGTGAAAGCATATGCACTCGGAATTCTTCTCGCCTCCCTTTCCTCTCGCTCTCTCTATTTAAAGGCGTTTTTTTTTTCGAATGAATAAACACATGCGTAAAACAATACAACAAGCAAAACCACAAACAATCACAAAAAAAAAATATACATGTGCATGAGATCAAATGGCGGTGAGTGTTATTTTTTTTTACATCAGTCCCTCCTTTTCTCTTTTCTCCCAAAAAAAATAGACTATCTCAGTATCAAAGGATTACTCGAAAAATCTTTCAGCATCCAGTGTAAAGCTCGGTCAACTCAATGGTTTCAGAGTAAAAAAAAATGTGTACAGTACATGGAAATCCATAGTTGGATACATACGTATACTTTATCTCAATTGGCGTACAACAAAGTCATAGAGAGCACATGAAAGTAGATTGAAAATACAAGGAGACAAAAAATGAAAAAAAAAAAAACAGAGATATACAGATACAGGGGATGGGGTAGAGAGATGTCATCAGTTAATCGGTTTGATATTATTCTGTTGGTTTAGCAATAAAATCAGGGGTGGACAAGGGGACAGAGTACAAATCTAGAGAGTGTGATATAATGAATGGATGGCAATGGTTTTGCGCACCTCTTCTTCTCTATTCCGCACCTGAGCAAAGGGCCTGAGTCACTCCTGTGACTACCACCGCCCATTCCACCCCTTCCTCCAGTCTGCCATGGTGAATCCTCGTCCCGATAGCCCCGTTTCGATAATGGTGCACAACTGCACGCCGACAGCTTATTGCCCATTTTTTAATTCCCCTGACTCCTTACTTAAATTATTACTTCTTCAACAACTCAATGTGCTATTGACTCCTCAACGCTGACACCCCTCGTCATCCACATCAGTCTAGTTTAATCTCTGATTTATCTCCTTCTCTCCAAATCTATTTCTTTATGCTTTTATCTCTCTCTCTTCTCTTTGACACAGTTATTTGGCCCAGTTATTTGTTTGGTCTGTTTAACTTGGCTTTTCTACTTTGGCACTGGCTTAACAAGTTTACTTGAATTATTAGGTAGTCTTATCATTTGGATTTTCTTCTTCTTTCCTCAAGGAAGCACTGGAATAGCACAGTGGAGATATCAATTATTGTTCTCCAATCGTAGAATGTAGAGGGGAGGTATCCATTATTGTCACATCATTGCTAGCGACTGGTCGTTATCAGCTCCTCCATGGTATCATCACTGTGGACACAGAATTTTCGGGGAATCAGGTCAAATGACGACAAAAGTTCATAAATGATGGGTCATTAATCAATCGCGTAGTCATCCCTTGAATCGATTTGATTTATCATTGGGGGGTATATTATAAGTATATTTTAATGATGTTTAATGATATTTAATGATATTTAATGATATTTAATGACGTCTGTCGGGATTTAATGAACTCTCATCGAGATTGGTTCACCTTCGATATTATTGGCGAATTAAATTACCCCATTGGCGGGGGGAGGATGATTGATTGAGGCTGTGAGAATGGAAATTCTTTCAGAGGACTCATGCGAAGGAGTGAGTCGAGTGTACAGTCGAGTGTACTGTGTGTTATTATTATTATTTTTTTTTTAAATTGCCAGAGGCTACGGTCAATGGAGAGCCGTAGTAGTAACGCCCAGGAACAGCCCCTCTCGGTGAACTTAGCATGAAAAATTCCACTTCCCACGTAAAGCCATTCCTCGAATTTAAAAAAATTGTCTGACCTATATTTTGACGTACTACTCCCTCTCTACTCCGTGAGATTTTCACGTCAGAAATACCAGTGGAAAATCCCTCGATAGTTCAAACTCGTAACACAAACTATTCCAATAAATCTTGGAAAATTCGGTTGCACTTGAGATTGAGGGAGTGGGAAATGTGAAAAAGGTAAATGAGAAAATTAAAGGGAAAAAAAATTGAGGTGAATTAAGGGCTGCGGTGGACGGGACGACGAATCATCTGATGACGGACAATTGCGGATATTTACATTGAGAATTTCAACTGAGAATTTCATTCTCGAAGCCCCCTCGGTGCTATCGAATGAAATTGCATCTCGAGTGACAGATCTGAATCCTTACAAGTTGACATGGCGATTATACCTCAGCCCCATCGTGACGTTTTAATCAAAAAATAATTATAAATTATGTAATTGAGGAGAACCACAAGCCACATCGATTCTCCATTTTTCCCGAAATTTATTATCGAGGTTCATGCAAAATCTCAAATAAAGTTCACTTTATTCCATCCTCATCTGACTGTCAAAGAGTTCCATGAATTAACCATTCACTTTCCAAATATAAACAAACACAACTGATCTTTATGCATTTCGAGATTTCCATTTAATTATCTCCTCACATATCTCTCCAAAAAATAATATATTTAACTGATCTCAAAGTGTATTTCCATGATTACAATTACAATTAAAATTACTGGAGATGTCTGACCATTGAATTTCCGGGTGTAAAGTATTTATTAAAAATCTTCCAGGTGAAGATAATTCTCAGTAAATATCCATCGGGAATTATTGCGTGTTAAATACCAGAATGTCACCCCGGAATTCCATCGTAACGATCATCTCCTATAATACCGAAGTCACGTCGTATTGGCACCAAAAAAAAAAAAATCCAAACAGTCTCGAATATCCGGGGATATCGTTTGGATTCTCGCACACCCACGTTATACACAATCTATACAAATGCGGTTGAGGGAGTGCAAGTGGGGTGGGGCACCTCTCTCATGCACATACGAGGTTTATGTATGTCTACTTGTGCGGTGGTGTTGCACCCCCTTTTTCCACCCAGGTGGTGTGGGGCGAGGCTGCAAACCCTCTCCACGGTAGAGGGCATGAGCCCGAAACAGCTCTCCACACACACTGACGAAAAAAAAAAATCATTTGGTCGGAATTCAGGTCGAAGTTGCAGTCAAGACACAAAAATTGCCCTATTTTCTCCCCTCCCCCTCACATATGGAGGGTTTAACCCTCGAGTTGATGCTCCCCGGTGTATGGCTGAGTGAAAAACAAATGGGGAAAATTGAAAAAAATATATTAAACCCCTGAAAAATCCTGGAGGATACAATTTTGAATTATCCTTCGATAAAATCGTAACGCAAAACGGAATTTTGGAATTCTATACATATCGATCTCCCAGATGCGTTCACCTGTCGCCCTAGTCTCCATGAATATTTCACACCACCCTATCCCTATTAATCCCCACATATCGCAGCTTCACCCCGTCAAACTCTCATTCCCCACTTTTCATACGCGATAATTCGTTGTTACCTGTGACACCTCCCCCACAGCATCAATGCACATACTTCCAGGATCATATCAATGAATCATTGACTCAATTGATAATGCACTCAAGCCCTTCCATTCCCCACAGACCGAAATATTCCTGAATTTTCCCCCAGATCAAAACAATCCAACGAACTCCCGTAAAATCACATCACCAAATCACCGGCATGGAGAATAATGACAGGGAAATCAGTCAACCAATTGGAGCAACACAAAAAAACCTCGGGAAAATCTCAATCTTGACAGGGCGACCACTTGACAAGAAGCCTCATCGATAAATGAATTTTCATTGCTGGTCCCGGTATCGGACACGATGTCAATGTCTCGCGACCTCTTCTAGAGTCTCACAAAAGATACACGACAAGAAATGGAGACACAGTTTTCCCATGAAAAATATTTTCCACTGTCGTACTGCGCCTTATGAATTATCACTGAATTAACAATTGCTGAATGATTTATGATTAAATTGATATTATTGAGTAGAGATGTGAATTTAGATTGATAAAACCGAGAAGTTTAACGACTTACGGTCGACGACATCCTCGGAAGGGCGTCGAGAGAGACCTCACCCGCGACACACCGCCATATCAGGGATGATGCACAATAACATAGATATAGGGGCACCGTAGAAAAGCCGAGATATAGAATGAGGGGGAGAGGGATTGGGGATGGTAGAGAAGGGATGAGGAAAGATTGGGTGGAGCGAAATGTAGAAAGTTGGGAGGAAAATGAATTTTCAATCCAGATGGATCGCACAAAAATCACAACTTATCACTGTACCCTGGTATCATTCACTCACCGATCTCTCGATGTCACTGTCTCCAATCCCCCCAAACAAAAAAAATAATAAATAAACGCTGAAGCCGTGGGTTCTCCCTAAAAAATTGTCGCGTTGAATGGGAATCAATTGAATTAGTCACTCGGTGATTATTCCACAGGATCGCGCGCCGGTTTGGCGCGATTTTATCCAGAGCGTAGCCATGGATACTGCACCAGGAGGATCAGGGAAGGCCCTGGACTCTGTCAGCGGCCCTAGCCCGAAAATGTCAATATTCACCGAGCTGCGATCACGCCCGTCCAGTGCGCCGCCTTTTCTCGTACTCCACCTTTATTCCTTCTTATTTATTTACTTGTTCCACCCTCCTGTCCCATTCCTTCCTCCCTCAGTCGCCCACCACTGTTTTATTACAACTTGATCCCACCACTGTTTTTATTTAACTATTTGATTTTTTTTTTCGCTTTTTAATTGATCTCACCCCCGCGGATACCCCTCCATAGGTTCAAGTGAATATTCACTTCAGAATAAGCTGAAGATTTTCACTTCAGCGATACGAAGAGCACTTGATTTTGGCAATCATTGGACTACTTCAAATTTAATTTAAATTACGAATTGTGGTACCGAATCGTATGAAAATTCAGGCAAGTTCAATGAAAAATTGGTGAAAGGTTATAAAACTTTGGGGGGGTAATACGGCACGACGTTGATGGTCCAGAGCGATGGTAAGTGTGGTTCTCTTGAACGCAGGCTTGGGGCTTTTTCGGTGGACGAATTTTCGTCCCTACCGGACTTAACCGTTGAGAGGTGAGGGAGAGAGATGTTGAAAAAAAAAAAATGATGGTGCGAGGGTGAGAGAGATAAATAGGAAGGAGTGGTGGTTTGATAGAGGTGGGTGGAGAAGAGCAAGAGGAGATTTACCCTAGGACTGCAAGTACTGTACACCAGCGATGAAGAGGCGGAGGCGTTGCCATGACGATAGACGATCGATCCGCGACTTGCGCATTAGTGCTTTACAATCCGTGGGATGCCAGAGGGATAGCAGGGGGTAGCCAAGGGAGAGGATGAACAAGAATTTCTACAGGGTGACTGAAAGATCCGAGACCACCAGGGAGGAACGAAAGAAAGGGATGAATCCTTCACTCACTGCCCCGGTATCATCTCTTCTATTTCCTATATCTCTTTGCATTTTTTATTCTTTCATATTCTCTTCTTCGTTTATTCTTCATTTCTTCTTTGTCGTCCTTTTCTTTTGAGTTTTGTGTGAACAACCGAAGGAGTTGCATAAAATTCAATGATAAATGGGGGATGAAGGGGGTGGAAAAGATGCAGGAGGTGGAGGAGGTGGAGGAGGTGGAGGAGGTGAAGGAGTTGAAAGAGGTGAAAAAGGTGGAGGAGGTGAAGGAGGCGGAGGAGGTGAAGAAGGCGGAGGAGATGGAGGAGATGGAGGATGTGGAGGATGTGGAGGAAGTGAAGGAAGTGAAGGAAGCGAAGGAATAATGAAGGGTTGACAAGGACGAGAACCGTATCCAGGCGCGGCACCCCTTATACCTCTGAATCTTGGTGTTCCCCGCCTGCGTGACTGCATAGACCTCTACATCTCCACATCTCTATATAGAGCATCAAGGCGTCGGCCCAATGCCCCTCCCGACTACTGTTCTCCACACCGGAGGTCATCGTCATTTCACCCCTTTGTATATTTTTTTTCCCACCCCATGTTGATTTTCTCTTAACCCTCTGGATAGGCAATACCTGGACTACCGAATCGGATATATCGGAGGATCGACCGGAGAGGGGGAGTACTCGGAGGGGCTTGTCAACGGAAGGGAAAAGGGCTCCCTCATGGGGCTCAAGTTGCAATGAGGGCAAGTGCACTGCCACTTCACTATTACACGTAATGTACAGGGGAGACCGTGCAGACTGGATTTATATGGGGTGTAAAAATGTAATTGATTTTTTACTCGGTAATCTAACCGTCGGGCTTTTGCAAAGTATGAAATGGCGAAATGGGGGTTTAAGGTAATTTATGGGTTAATAAATTTTTGCGAAAATGGTGAGAGGAGGTTTAATTGCATCAACTAGTATTGCAACGTTTACACATGAGATGGATTTTAATGGGATATCGGGGGTGGGGGTGAAGGGAGTAAAGGGAGTGAAGGGAGTAAAGGGAGTGAAGAGAGTGAAGGAGGTGAAGGGGGTGAAAGGGGTGAAAGGGGAGATTTATTTTCTCAAGTTTGAAGTACTTTCTTTTTGAAATGCTAATTGTTTTTTACCCCTTTAATAATCGAACGAATTGACACGTAAGGGTTGCAAGTGGACAGACCCATTGGCCCAAAATACTGCGCACGGAACGTAATGATAATTATTGAACTATTTGTGGATTAACTGTCAACACCCAGCAGAACCTTGGAGCTTGTATTTACTGGGTAAATTGAAACCGTTGCACAACCACTTTCATTACCTTTTGACGAGTACAAATGTTAGTTTTTATTATAGTGACTTATTATTTTGTTGAAGTACATTTATTTATTGCTTTACCCATTGTCACTAGAGACTTTTACCCCCAGATGTTCAGTAGACTGTTTTTGTTAATTAACAAGTAGTGACATCTCGTGCCGGTGTAATCAGGATTGACAAAAAACAGAATAATAATAAATTAAAAAAGGAAATGGCGTTTCGAGAATGATGATAGACATCTCAAATTCCGGGGTACCAATATTGCTCGGGAATTGATTACACCATCCTCCAATAAAATCCTGGAAATTTCCCGGAGAATTTTCCCATAATTATACTATAATTTGCAACATAAATTCTGGCATTGACATTATGACAGACACTTGAGGCAATACGGGTAATTAAAAGGCGGTAATTGTTTGCGACACGCTAACGACTCGTCGAATGAGAGTTGTGCTGTTGAATTTTTAATCTGAGCGATATGAAAATTCAATTTGACGACAGTATGATTGATTGACATGGAGAATTACACAGTTTTCAACTTTGTAACTTTTGGAAAGTTTATATAGAAATTAAATAGCGTATAAACCTCCATTATAATTCTGGCTATTCAGAATTTCATGTACGTTACCTGATGACCCTTGTCTCTTCCATTGTTCACCGAAACTCAGGCTATTATATTGTGTCAGCGGGAAATCCGATGCAATTTTGGGTGAACCGTCTGGTCTTGAAGGAGTTGTCACTCCATTGTCTCAGCTCACTCCACATTATCAAAGAACTTAATTATTTTTGTTAGTTATTTTTCCCCCAATATCTCCCAAACACCGATCCAATCTCAAATTGAATTCCCCACAATCTCCACAAAAAGATCGATGCAAATCCCAAATTTAAACGTACAATTGTTTTTCTGAAATAAAAAAAAATCAGCACCACGAAAAATAATGACTTTAGCCAAGTTAATTAACTAATTATAAAACAATCTATATATACCAACAGTAAATATTCATCTTTGTATATTTATAAAGTTATATAACTCAATTCAATAATCAATATATATTTGAGTAATTTTTTTAGTGAGTTCCTGATAAGACCGGTAATTTGCACACCCCGCGTAATTCAATAATAGTTCGACGGAGTGAAAACCGGCGCCACTATCAGAGACACTAAAATACCCAATAGTGTTGGCAGTCTGATAAGTTGGTACATAGCTGGAGTATGTAGTGACCTGGCGCAGATTGAATTCGGTCATTTTTGTGACTGCTTCGAGTGTGCGCACCCGGAGCTCCATTGACTGAAACCACGTGTTGACGCTCTAACTAAATTAAGCCTAAATTAAAATTAAATAAAAGATTCAAGTGGCATTCGATTGATTCGAATAACATACACGTAAAATGGCAGACTACGTCCTAGGCGATTTAAAATCATCTGATGTACCAATGCCAGAGGATGGCCTATCAGCAGGACAAATGTTCAACGCTGGTGAGGGTCTCACGTACAATGACTTCATCATATTACCTGGATACATAGATTTCACGGCTGAGGAAGTCGACCTGGTGTCACCATTGACGAGAAAAATCACCCTCAAGGCACCTCTAGTCTCATCCCCCATGGATACTGTTACGGAGTCTGACATGGCTATTGCCATGGCATTATCTGGTGGCATCGGAATAATTCATCACAATTGTACCCCAGAGTATCAGGCCTCCGAAGTCCACAAGGTAAATTCATTAATGACGATATCATCACAGAAATTTAAATAGTCAATCTACAGCCATAAATCTGTGGAGTGGATTGAAAAATCGGGGGCCATGTATAATTATTTAATTTTTTATTTATTGATGCCAGGTGAAAAAATACAAACACGGTTTCATTAGAGATCCAGTGGTCCTCTCTCCAAACCACACAGTGCGTGATGTCATCAACGTAAAAGCTGAACACGGTTTCTGTGGAGTTCCCATAACGGAAAATGGAAAAATTGGTGGCAAACTAGTGGGAATAGTGACCTCCAGAGACATTGACTTCCTCGAGGATACTCCTAACCAGGCGAACCTCAAGCTCAGCACAATAATGACCCAATTGGAGAATTTGGTGACAGCGAAATCACGTGTCACCCTTCAGGAGGCGAATTCCATCCTCGAAAAATCGAAAAAAGGAAAACTTCCCATTGTAAACGACAAAGGGGAACTAGTGTCGCTCATGGCGAGGACTGATTTGAAGAAGAACAGGAGCTATCCGAGTGCCAGTAAAGATGAGAACAAACAGTTATTGGTGGGTGCTGCAATTGGCACGAGAATGGCAGACAGAGAGAGATTAAAACTACTAGCATCAGCAGGTGTTGATGTTGTTATCCTTGATTCATCTCAGGGAAATTCGATTTATCAAGTGGAGATGATTAAATTCATCAAGGCAGAATTTCCGGAGCTGCAGGTGATCGCCGGTAACGTTGTTACAACGATGCAAGCGAAAAACTTGATTGATGCTGGAGCGGATGGGTTGAGGGTGGGAATGGGCTCAGGCTCGATTTGTATCACCCAGGAGGTCATGGCTGTTGGTAGACCACAGGCAACAGCTGTTTATAAAGTTGCAGAGTACGCCAGAAAATTTGGAATTCCAATAATAGCTGATGGTGGAATTCAATCAATTGGGCATATTATCAAGGCTCTCAGCCTTGGGGCAAGCACGGTTATGATGGGATCATTACTTGCTGGTACTTCTGAAGCACCTGGCGAATATTTCTTCAGTGATGGGGTTCGTTTGAAAAAATACAGGGGCATGGGATCACTCGAGGCTATGGACAGGAAGGATGCCAAGGGATCAGCTATGGATCGATATTTTCATAATGAAATGGATAAAATGAAAGTTGCACAGGGTGTCAGCGGATCAATTGTCGACAAGGGAAGCGTACTCAAGTTTTTACCGTATTTACAATGTGGCATCAAGCATGGATGCCAAGATATTGGAGCTAGGTCTGTGTCATCTCTTAAGTCGTTGACTTACAGTGGGGAACTTAGATTTGAGAGACGATCTCATTCCGCCCAGCAAGAAGGCAATGTTCATAGTCTTTTTTCCTACGAGAAGAGACTCTACTGAATATTATAATCATCTCTTACCATCTTTTCACCCTGTACTATAATTTTTCTTATTCCAATTCCAATCGTACCTGCATTTTTTGCCAAATTGTCACCACTACTTGGTACACTTGGTAATTTAATTCAATAGAATGTCTTTATTTTTCAAATAGACTATCGCTTTCATCTTTCTCTGCATAATACATTCAAAAATGCAGTAATTTTTTTTCGGGAAATTAGCGAATTGGGGGGATCATGAGTTTGTGAAAGTCTCTTATATTTTTGAAAATCTTTTACACGAATCAATACAATTGTCGTCCAAAAAAAAACATTTGTCGATATTTTTTAATGAATTTATGATGTCAGTTTTGGAGTGCTACTGTGAAATTTAATTTTTTATATCATGGTTATGATTTTGTTGGAATAATTCTGAGGAATTCTTGTAAGCATTGATAGTGATTGTTCTACTAAGGAACTTGTATTACTCATCTTATCTCATGAAAAATCTGAGTTTATAAATGTTTAGCTAATATATTTTAAATTGAAACATTATATCAGACATGAATGGCCACAAATAAATTAGTCTTGTACGTCATCTGTTCAACCGTCTGTGTACAATAATTATTTTTCATCCCTCATATTAATTTTCTACTGCAAAACACAGAACTATAATCCATTCATAAAAATTCGCTTGTGGTTTCTTCTACCTTCTACCAAAGATATTTGTCTTTAATTCAACAAAAAATTTTTACAAAAAATGAAGAAAGTTCAAGAACTGGAATACTGTGCTGCCATCGCTCCAAAATTGACCGGTGTTTATTATTATCCAAGGCACTGGGTCCTCACACACACAAATTTTATAAACAAATTACCCTGCAAACTGTCATCCCTCTGCATTACAACAAAATGGTGCTGTGCGGAATTGAATGTGTCCAACGGATCTCTCAATATTTAAATATTCCTTCCGGTAAACTGCAAGTAACACAGAGTAACGTACGTATAAAATCACTTTTAGGTTATTTAATCAAATAAATATACGATAAATATAGTTCTTCTAATAATAATTAATTTCATTAAACTCGCAATATGGTATAAATATGTCAATATAATTGATAATTAATTAAACAAATGGTCTTTGTTGCAGACAATTGCTGCTGACAATGTAGTAAAGAATATTACAATCGAGGGATTCAGCTCCATTATTCAAGCATATGCAAATCTCTCAAAGGAACAAGAGCTTCACCTTGGAAAGGATAGAATTACACAAACATTAGTGCGACAGTGGTTAGAGTATGCAGTCATTTGTGTAAATTATGCTGACGTTCCAGCGAATGCTAGAAGAGTGCTCAAGGTAAGACTGATTCTATCACTAATTGTTAATTCATTAATGATAATCAATTGATTCTAATTACAAAGACTTCAAAATCAAGTTTAACGTGAAATGTCAATGGAATAAACTTTTGGCGAAATGTGGAAAAAAATCGAGTATTACTATCAATTTTATTTAATTAAATCTTTGTGTTTTAGGAATTGAATATTGCCCTGAGGGACAATACATACATCACTGGAACACATAAAACGATAGCAGACGTGGCATTATATTATGCTCTACATTCTATTATGGTAATATTCCACACAATGTCCAACATAATAAAGAATCCATTGGATGAATCCGCAGTAGTGAACTTGGATCGATTTAATCTGCCAAAGTCTTAATTACGTTATGTTTTTTTATTACAGAATGGACTCACGTATCAAGAGCAGGCTGAGTATGTACACGTCTCAAGGTGGTTTGATAATATCCAACAGGAAGCCAAATTAAGACATAAATTAAAAATCATTGATTTTGATCTAATGCATTTATATATCTGAATGAAATACTTAATTTATCGACACCCTTTTATATAACTTTTGCGTGGAAATGCTGACATGACGATTTTTAGTGTCCGATTGACATTGTCTTGATAATATGTTTTTAATAAAGCCTTCAAGTCGACGGGGTGAATTTTATTTCCTGTGGTATGAATGTTTTTTGTTTTTTATTTGTTTAACTGAAATTTAGACGACTGTAGAAGGAGCGGAAGGGGAAAGCCACATCTAGTGAAATTTCAAATGGAAAAAATTATTCAATGTATTGAAGATATACTACTAATGAAATTAGTAATTTTAATAAAAGTGCATTTGCTTAGTCGGCAAGGCGCTTGACTGGCACGCGGACCGCTTGGGTTCGATACCAGCATCATTCATTTTTTTTTTCAAAATAATTCCAATTTTTTTTTTGTTATTAAATGGCAAATCAATAGAAATATTGTTTAAAAACTGAATATTTGATAATCGAGGAGATATGCAGTGAAATTGAACAATTTAACATTTTTTAAACGAAACTTTTTCAATATATATACTACTAATGAAATTTTA